TTTTTAGCACTTTATATCTTTGAAATATTTCCATGTACACAATGTATTTTTTCAGAGTTAAGTATAATTGTCAAAATTAATATTCTTGTTCCTTCAATTTTTAATTTCAAATTCTGATTTTTTATAAATATAGCAGGTTTTAGCAATTATATTTACCCACTGATTAAAAATTTTAAACTGTATTTATAGATTTAATATTTGATTTCCACATTTATTATTTCAACTGACTTATTGATAATTATCCTTTCCAGGTATTTAAATGACATGTAAGCTAAGAAAAACAATGACTCTTAAATTCTCCTAAATTTTAGATTTTAAGTACTGTCTTAAAAATGAAATTAAAACATTTTCTTATCATTTTCAACTTAAAAATCACAAATTTAAGCAATTACTTTATATTGAAAATATGACTGCTCTGTTACTTTAATATGCTGTATTCTTTTAAATATTACAGATAATAATAAAAGCAAGTAAATACAGATTTCCTTATCACAATATTCATCATTTTAAAATTTTACACATTTAAAAACTTCTATATATTTTTTATGAGGCAAAAGATGCTATCTATTTAAAGGAGAAAAAAAATGTCATCTTAAGCAAGCACAGAGTTATGGTTCCAAGTAACAATTATTGCTGCTTTCCAGTTTGACCACATTTCTTATTGGCTAGAGATACTGGCTGGGATTTAAGAAGGGAGCTTCAGATGTCATGATGTTTCATGATCCTGGCTGCCACAATGTTGTGGATCCCCAAACTTAAAGATAGTTGATTAGACAACCTCTTATCAGGGTTGGATTCATATCATTGTCTAATTTTTATGTCTTCTTATGAAAGCAAGTGACCTCCAATCCATCAACATTCTCTTACTCAATTCTGTATTCTTTAGCTCAAGTCTAGAAAATCTCTGAACTTGATGAGAATCCTGCATTCTTTTCATATTCATCTTATCTCTTAGGGTCACAATTCGTCTAGGTTTTTAAAATGACATCAGTTTGAATTCTGGATCTCTCTCAGGTCTTAGTCTAAGTTGTTTCAACTTCTTGTGATTTATAGGCAAGGTACTGTGTCCAGCTTGATCTATCTTATTATGTAATGAGCAGAATAACTCATAGTGAATGTTTTAGTCGAAAGGTAATTCAGTTTATGAACTGATCAAATAAATAACTCTAAACAACAAAGAACAGAAGAAAGCCATTTGTACAAGTCTATGCACACTCTGATGCCATTGTAAGCCATTTTATTTTACGAATTACCTAATTTTACCATAACATCTAACTTCTAGGGAGTCCTATAAATGTGTTTGCACATTCATTCATAATAATCTTAATTTTTGCCTCATCCTCACGGAGTAAGAATTGAGGTGTTTTATGAGTAAATTATCTGTGAAAATGTCTTACCTATTTAGAGAGGAAAGAACTAGTGAGACAGCATGCCAAAGCTGTTTGAATACAAGCTACCAAAATAGCAGGTGTCTATTTTTTCCTAATGAAAAATAATACTGGTTTGCCTATTTTCTAGGCATTCCATAGAATTAGGTGTATACTTGTATCCTTGTTTCCTCTGATGGTACATTCATAGGCTAAAATATTAAAATCATTTCAAATAAATGCTCAGAAAAAGATGCCAGAGAAATTCACTGGATAGATTGATCATCATGAATTCAAAAATTTATAAACTAAGTCAAATGCTTAGGCAATTTACAATTTACAACTCATTCCCTGAATTTGACAAATTCTTTCACATTATTGCCCTGGTGACATTCAGTCCAACTTAGAGCGTCTGGGGAGAAAAAAAAAAAAAGTACTACATGTGGGTTTACTCCTTACAAACTGTAAGTCTTTTGTTAAAATATCCTGTAGTTTCTCAATATAGTTATGATTGTTATTTTCACAACTCAAAGATCTCATCATAATCATAAACTCAGATACCTCAGAAGATTAAAGACATTCTATGTACCCATTTTTTTTTTCCTGGAAGATATAACCAGTGGAGAAAGACAGTGACAGCAAATGCAGTTTACCTGAAGATATGATGTAATTCCCAAATATCAGGGCTCCCTATTAAGACAGCCCTCCCTTCTATGGAGGGTGGGTTTAACTCACAAAGAGGCAAGAAAGATACAGCGCCTCTGACTTCTCCTGCAGCAGGCATTCGAGGGAGTCAGTCATATCTCCCATAGGAAGGGCAAGTCACCCCCTCTGTATGGGACCTTGTCAGTCTGTGTCTATCATCCTTTCCAGAATCTTCCTTTAGGGACATGGAGTAGGCAGAAATCCTTCCCTCCAGTTCTCTAAAAGCAAATACATGCAGAGAAGGAAAGCAGTCATTCCTCTTCCCTTGAAACCATCCTCTTCAAAATTTTACTTAAGATGTTTTTACATAGATACAGCTAAAAACGTGACCCTCCGTAATGGTGAACACATTTACTTCATATCAAAATCCCTTATAATAGTTAATAAAGAATGCTTTTGTAAGATAAGATACTTTTTCATGTTTGAAATTTTTTGTTTACCTTTTTGAACACCCAATATTTAGCTTTTCAACATATGAATGAGCATAAAGGCAGGCTTTATATATATGGTAAATTACTTCTAAAATTGTTTAATGTTTTAAGTTTCTCATTATTTCCTTTTTTACTATATTTTTTTTTGTATATTTAAGGTATAGAACATGACCTTTTGATACTCATATAGATATTGAAATAGTCAAAGATTGTTAAATATTTTAAATTATTTGGATTGAGAGCTGAGCAAGTCACAGGACAATATAACAGATCTTTCAGGCTCAGATGTAGGAGTTGCTCAAGTGCCTATAAATCATGAGAAGCTGAAGATGAAAGGGACCCTAGACGTAACCTCACGCAAACTCCTTATTTTATGGATGAGTTGCATAGGAGATAATAATTGACATGTCCTCGGTCACAGATGATCTGAGTAGGAGAAATAGGGATAGAACACAGGATCCTTGAGTCTCAGGTCTTATTTGTACCATGGTGTGGTTCCATTTTAGCAGAAGATTATAAGAAAGTGTCTTTAGATCTGGGTTCACACTTTACTTCAATATGAAAACGATGCCTACTTGTATTTCTTCCCAGGTAAATACAATTAGTTAAGAACATTTCAGGAAAAAAAAAATTTGTTGACACTATCTGTCTGAAATTCCTTTGTGAACTAATTTTGTACTATGGTAAACTGCAATCGACATTTCAGAAATTCATGTTATTAATATTTGGTGAAAGAAGAAATATTAGATAGAACTATATCAAATGAGTCTGATGTTTAATATGCATTTATATTTGTTACCATTGGATTGACAGGCTTATCTCAATAGTTGCATAGGGAAATCAAGCCAAGCATTTAAAATTTTTGGAAGTGTATTTGAGTCCTAGAATACTTTGAGTTTATGTGAACTCTGTGAGTTTACTTCATGCAATCCTATATCAATTTGTGGAAGATGACTTTTTTCATAATTTAAAACAATTTCTGACTAACAAATCTCTTTTGAGGGTAAGTGCCATGGTCTTTTTGGATAAGTGTCTCTTGAAGAGTTCATTTTTTTTCTCATTTTGTTTCAAAGTCATTGTCTTAATTTTCTTTCACTTCAATACATTTCCATGTTAAATAAATCTATGTAACCCATTATCCTTGGAAAAAGATTAAGACTTTTCAGTGTTATGATCAAAAAGTCCCATAAGTTTGCTAGAAAACTTGTAACTTGCAGTGAATGCAAGGCTATTAACTCTTGCTCTGTTGTACACAACTCACAACCTGGTAGAAGAGAAAGACACCAAGTTTTCACATGAAGCTCCATGTTAATTTGAGTAGTTACAAAACTCTCCCTTCCTTCTTCATATAATGCCTTAGCTTTCTCAAATAAATTAATAGCCACTCTCCAGTTACAATTTGAACACAGTTTTCAGCTAGGATATATAAATATAATAAATAATGTAGGAAATAATGTTATGACTTTGAACTATGAAATTTAATGTTAAAGTTATTCTTTCCACCAGATAAATCATCACTAAATAATGTTCCTACTAGGGAGGAATTTTGGAAAACATTCTTGCTTGGAAGAATGCTATTTATTTTCTATTTTGTGCCTTATGCCTTATGACTACCTAGAAAATAGATTGTCATTTCAGAGTGACTTATTATTGTCAGGTCCACCAATACTTGGCTTAATTTCCTTATCCAGCCATGGAGATGAGCCTATCAATCCATATAGTAACTAATATAAATACATATTAAACCTAAGGGTCATTCAAATATTGTCCTACAAATTTTTTCCATGAAAGAAAATTTGCCGTACATGAATAACATCCTTATTAATTTGCCTTTCTTTTTCAAGGAAAGTAAGTTACTATTTTTCTTAATTTATTTAATTAAACCATATTATACAGCATTTGTGTCACACCTTTGGTACGTACCATTGTCAAGTTATTTTCAATCATGATTTGTTTCTAGCTCATACCAACTAAAAATATAAATTCTCTTATTATTGTACTGCTATAAAAAGTCAAATGATAAAACATGAAGGTTCCATTTGGTTAATCATGCTATAATATAAACTGAACTTTGGAATTTGCAATATAATATTAGTGTTAATTTTGAATAAATTTGATCATATTTGTTTTTAAATATATTAGTAGCATGGCTCCTTATGACTTCTAGGGAAATCTATTGACTTTGCTGGATTCAAATTTCAGTGGTCAGTATGAGATGTCCTTGTAAGTCATGAATAAACATGGTATTTTTTAAACGTATCCTTTACCAAACTCAAAGTCTGGATGTTGAATCTAAGAGCATTATAAAGACAATATTCTTTTTGTAGTACAACCATATCAAATTATGGAACTTTGAATAACAATGGTGTGAAGTAGCTTTCTTCTAGTTCTTTCTAGAATTAAAAGAACTCTAGGAAATAGTAGCACTGCTACTTTCCATTTACTTTGTGTTTGTTATAGCAAATCCAGTAAAACTGAAGGTTTTTTACCCCTACAGGTTTGGGATGAAAATCTTGCAAAATCTGCAGAGGCTTGGGCGGCCACTTGCATTTGGGATCATGGACCTTCTTACTTGCTAAGATTTTTGGGCCAAAATCTGTCTGTCCGAACTGGCAGGTAGGAAGCAGTTTTGCTGATACAGTTTATTTACATGATTTTATTTCATGGGAGAATTATTGTATTATATGGGAGAATTACACCAGTTCCAAGTGACATCAGAAGATATTTATTTAGTGTTCACTCTGAATCAGGCCTCGATATTTGGTCTATGAATATTTTAGATGTCTTCAAGAATTATGAAATTAGTTAAAAAGTCCAAATAAGACCAGGTTCCCTTTCAACACTTGCAACACTTTCCCTTAGTCTGTATCTCTCGCTGACCTCACAAAATCCTAGAAATGGTCACATGTATGATGATGTGTCCCATTGCCTCTCAGGAAAAAATTCCAATTGTGGCAGAAGCCATTTGTATTTGTGTGTGTGTGTGTGTGTGTGTGTGCGCGCGCATGCGCAAGCTTTCTCATAGTTGTATGTATCTGCACATAAATAAATTGATTAGTAGACAAAATAAAAAATATTTATATTTACATATATGCATATATATGCAGGCATATACAACTATGGAGAAAGCTATTCCCATTGATAGGATACTTTTTCTCCCAGTGTGGATTGTCATTATCTAGTGTTCCAAAGTTTCATTCTTTTTCCATATAGGGAGAAAAATCAGGTGTGCTAATATTAAAATCAAAGTGATCTAAATTTAAGGAAAAAAATGCATTTAAAGCTAGTATTATGACTACTTCTATATATCTAATTTTCAATTACTTGAGGACATAGATTAAATAAGATTTTGATAGCTCCTAAAATATTTACATTTTCTTTCTTCAAAATAACCCAACACATATTTAGACAAATATAGGGTCACTTCCTCCAGTCCTGGACGTTTTTGCATGCTTGCTACTACTTGGAAAAATTCCAAGAGTAAATATGCTGTTGGATACTCATGAATAATCTTTTTATTAAATCAACTAACAATGTAACATGAGTCCATTATAAATTACCATTGCTATAATCATACATGCTTTTTTTTTTCTTTTGACATCTAGATATCGTTCTATTCTCCAGTTGGTCAAGCCATGGTACGATGAAGTGAAAGATTACGCTTTTCCATATCCCCAGGATTGCAACCCCAGATGTCCTATGAGATGTTTTGGTCCTATGTGCACACATTATACACAGGTTGTTTCAATTGTCTTTTTAATGTTCAATTCATATTTTTTAAAAATCTTATTATATATTGAGGGACATTCATTTTCTTAGCAATATTGGAAAATATTGGTTTATTTTCACAGATGGTTTGGGCCACTTCCAATCGGATAGGATGTGCAATTCATACTTGCCAAAACATGAATGTGTGGGGATCTGTATGGCGCCGCGCCGTGTACTTGGTATGCAACTATGCCCCAAAGTAAGTACCAGGTTGTATTCTGTTTCCTGGATCCCTGAACGTGTTAAATATCTCCAGTCTCATAGGCATTTTTGACAGATAAATGTGTAAGACTTACTATTCATTTGGCTTCTAATCCTCAAATCCACCATCATTTATTCCTATATTTTTGAAAAACAATTAGGTAAAAGGTTTCTTTTAACAAGGGCAGGGATTCTGGGGTAAAATGGTAAGCAAAACAATCTGAGACAGTGTTCTCACTAAAGTCTCCTTACCATCTTCTGTCATAGCAATTGCAAACACTTCCTAATCGTACTTTGTAAGATTTTAATAACTATATAGAGGACATCAGAAAAGAATCTGCTAGGAACTTATCAATACACAATAGTCTCATATATCAATATAGAATGTTGTCTCACCTTTTTCACTAGGAAAACACAGTATTGGAAATGAATCCTTTCTTTCTTATTATTTTTAGATTTAAAAAATTCATATTCTCAATCTTTGGCCCACATAGAATATATTATAGAAATTTATCAAAAATTATAAAATAGTCATATTTATGAACAAGCTATAGTATAGAAGGATCAATAGACATTTGCCAACTTTTGAAAAAATGCCTTCCTGATAACAATAGCTCTTTAGAAGATAAAATGCTCCAATATTTATACACAGTTCTGTTCCCATTTGGAATAAATAACAAAATGTGCAAAGGATTTATGATACTCTTGGTGTCGTCCAAAGTAAGTCCCAAACAAAGATTTTCTCCAGCTATTCCAACACAGGGTGGGAGTGAGAAAATGTGTCAGGAATAAGTGCATTACTCATTGATATGGTGGTGTGCCAGTGGCAGTGTTTTTGTAAAGTTAGAAAAATAGTGATTTTCCAGATGGTCCCCTCTTTATAATTATTAGGTTAGGGAGGTTTGGAAAACAGAATGTTTATTAATAATAATAATTCTTAAAATGTAGCATTAAGAATAGGCATTAAAACTGTGCATTTGTTGGACATTTTATTTTCCCACTTTTTATTTTCCTAGTGTGCCTTTCCACTTTCTCCTGCCATAAATAGGCTAGATAGTAACCAAATGGTGAAAATGGTATTTGTTTCATCCATTTAAGAATTTTGGTTTTGCCCAATGATTAGAATTTTCTAATATTATTGATGAGCTCCATGATTGTTTTTTAGATCCAAAAAATTAAGATATTGCATTAACATGCTATATTTTAGTTTTAACAAAATTTTCTGGAAACTAGGTAATGAAAAGTTTAAAAATCTTGACTGGTAGGGAAAAAATAAGAGCAAAAAAGAGAATTTAATTAGATGGAATAGGAAAAAAGTAAAATAACATGATCAACCAACTGATTTATTGTTGAATATAATTAATTCAATAAAATCTGATATTTATGTAAAAGTTCTTAATATAATATAGAATGTCACATATAATAAAATTTTATTTCTGATTTTTTTCTTACCAAAAATATGTGTTTCAAAAAGTGATGGAAAATAAGTAGAAAATAAAATTTAGATACATAGCCTGGATCCATATACATTTTTAGCTTTGGGTAATTAGATACAGAATGGAACGAGATGGAGTTAAGAAGCCAGGCACACTTAGAATGGGCCTTGAATGTTTCAGGACAAGCAGGTGATGTCATTAGAATTATGCTTCGTGAATATTATCCTCAAGGCAGACTGCAGAATAAATTAAACAGAAGTGGAAAGTCTTAAAATTCCATCATTTTATAATATTAATAATAAATTATCAAGCTTTTCATTTTATGGGTAAATTTTCCTGTATGTGCATTTTATTTTTTTTAAAAAGTGGGGGTCTTTATTTAATTGGCTATACTAGATATTTTCATGTCCTCATTGTCATTGCCTATTTTTTTTTTCAGAGTTTAAAGAAGATAAGAACCACTTGTTTCACATTTTAACCTCTTACCTGTTATTTTCATTTCCTCAATCTTAGGTTTTTAACATTTATAACCAGAATTCCTCCTGAAACTTCAGTTTCCTTCACATTGCTCTCTATATTAGTATTTCTTAATGCTCTAGTCACTATCACCATGCAAACTTCTCCTTCATAATTGAAAGAGTCAAATAACAGTCTGGTATTGCAGCTATTTTAAACTTGTCTAAATGGTGAATTTGGTTTATTATGATGATCATGGCCATCCATACAGTGGAAGAAAAATATTGATAGCACAAAATAATTCAGTCAAATGTGTTCAGGATTAAAAAATAATAGCAGTAACTGAAAAAATTTTGAGTAGCTATGAATTTGAATTTATATGTTAGAAAGGTTTTGAAATCACCTCTCGTTGTCTCTATAAACCCTCATTCTCTTACTATGAGAATACAGTTGTGCTTTTCTCTTTATTTTATGAAGACTGGGACCTAAAATATTTTAAAACTTTGTAAACACATCTTATGAACATTTATAGCGTATTTATTGTGGATATGGTGACTTACTCATTTCATAATTTCTGAGCATCCCAGAACATACTAGGTATTTTGTTAACCATCCTTAGGAAGAATTAGCATGAGTTTAGAAGCATTAAGTTTAAGTGACAAAGACCTGATTATGTGCTCTTGAAGCCTGCCAGAGGAGGCAGATTTGTGGATGGAACATACTAGAGTCCCATGATCTGGGGTATCACCATGCATTGTAGGGCCTCATTTCTTACCTGTGAATTAAGATAATACTAGCTTACACAGAAAGAAAGTATTTTAAGAGCAAAATATATAGAATACCTTATGGTGGGAATAAGAAATGGATGTACTTTTAGGTGGCTTTCTAAAATAAGCTTCTGAAAAAGATTCTCATCTGCCAATACATATGAGCATGACCTTAAGGACAATCTGATTTTTAAAAATGAGTGAGTATGACTGATGCCATTTTGTTTTCTCCTTCCAGGGGCAATTGGATTGGAGAAGCACCATATAAAGTAGGAGTGCCGTGTTCATCCTGTCCTCCAAGTTACGGGGGATCTTGTACTGACAATCTGTGTTTTCCAGGAGTAACGTCAAACTACCTATATTGGTTTAAATAAGCTTACCTTTTTCTCCAGGAAATGTCATGGTTTCTGGGAATCATAAGCATATATATATATTGAATTTTGCACATATTATACATATTTTATAATGATAAACTTGTTTCATTTTAGTATTCATTTGTATAGTATTTTTCTAGTATGCCGTTTAATCCTTGAATACAATCAAAACATCCATTTCTATTTTCTGACCTCTAAATTAAAATATTGTATAGGTAGTGATGACATAGTTGATGCAGTCAATTCCAAAACTTGCATTCCAAAGGAATTATGATATTATGTTCCTAAAGAATAAAATATACCTTCAACCTGTAATGTGTATGTGTGCATTATACACATATATACAGACATATGTGTATGTATATGCACACAAACATACTATGTGATGCAACACATAGATATTACAATACAATGGTTAACTTGAGGAAACTTTAAAAAATATTCTAAAATATATTTGAGGTGGTGGTACATCTTAGCACCAATTCTGTAATATGCACAAAAATGATAGTTTGCAAAATAACACTCGCCCAGTGATACCTGAAAATAATAACTCAATTAATGGATCAAACATTTCGGAGTTATTTTATATTATTGGAGTCTTCCAAAGGCTGTGCTCATTTTATGTAAATTTATACATCCCACCTTTTGTTTGGTCTTATTTGATTGAATCAGTAGTCACATGTTGAGTTCTTTCTACAGGCTCTTTTTCCACTCTGGTGGTTATGTTCTGATAATGCAAAGATAATTGGATAGAGTTCCTGCCTTAAGAAGCTCACAGAGATATTTAGGAAACAATGCAAACGATTGATTTTTTTCTGCAAAATTGTGTTGTTTTTTTTTTAACAAATTGTTTTTCACGTAGCTGTGAGAAAGCGAACACAGCAACAGCATTCACCTGTAGGTGGACTAAATGATAATCTGGCTAACATGGAAGTCTGATTCCCAGGAAATTTCAGCTACAGCCCTTGGAAAAAGAGAGACAGAATAAATGACTCCTTAGAGATTTCTGGAGCAAGACAGATAGTGGTGACTTTGGAAAGCTGAAAAAGCAAGACCCACAGAAAACTCATCAAGAACAGAGAAAGCGAGGTTTAGAGGACAGGTGTGAAAAGTCACAGATATAGTGTTAATGCACAAAAAAAAGATCAGGGGGAGAGCTTCAGAAGGGCATATCCTGAGGGCTAGTACATCTCCAGGCCCATTGTGAGATGGTGAAGTAGTTCAGGAAGAGATGAGGTGGTGTTTCCACCTTCTCATCATTGTTCTGCCTGTCATTATCTTGTGTGTCAATCATCTTGGGCCTTCCATTATCATATTAAAGATCTTTCATACACACCACATACAGCTATGGTTTATATTAGCAAAGCCCTCTTCAGATTTTTCCTACAGACTAATTACTAATTATTGTTTCTAGGTTTCTGTGGGAAAAATAACATTTAGTTCCTCATTAACTGTAATTTATTTGATTTATGTGAAAATCAAATAAATCACTATGAAAATTTTACTGCGGTGATTCAAAAATTACGATTCTTCACTTACATAAATCTTTCAGAGTGGAAAATACAACATCTGGGTCAAGACAGTGAACCCATTACATTTCACATGTATGTATGTTCAGTCAGGTTGTGTAATGGTTGCATAGGATTACAGAGCAAGTAAACATGGTTAGTTCCAGTGTGCCAATAACAGAAAGAAGCTACTAGTTTAAATTCTGTCCACATTTGCAGTTTCTTAGGGTGGATACCTTGAAAAATGACACTTAATTAGAGCCACTCCAAGGGAGAATAATCCAACATCTGGAGATTGGGTCTACTTGATGAAAAACAACTGGCCTAATTACTATTACAAATTAAATATGGTGACCAAATGTTTTATATGAGACTTTTCTGCTTTTGTGGGCTTATATGTGGACCGTATTAAAAATAAATATGTTTGGGAATAAAACTAAGAACAGAAATAATTATATGATTTAGGGCTCAATCCAACTTTCGTCTTAAGATGCCTAGGCAATTGGACCGAAAGCCCATTAGTGGGATATTTGCTTGATTTTTTTTAGGAAGTGTTTCCATCCTCAATGTTACTATAGTATTCTGCAAAAACTGTAGTGAGTACTATTCAATAGATGTTGACTATTCTCAGTGCCAGTTCTTTTGCTGGCTTGTTTGGGTAGCTTAGTTTCTCAGTTCTCAGAATAATGAAATTTGCTCTGTATTTCATAGAGATTTCTATGAAGGTAAATTTGCCAAAGTAATAGAAATTTATAAAAATTAAAATTATAATTAATAGAGCTCCTCTTGGCATGAACTTTGTCTAATTCTTTGTATTCTGGCTTCTTCTACAGTAGCTGTAATGTAATGAGTGTTTAATGAATGCTTATTTGAATGGATTTTTAGAATTAGCTTTCAAAGCTTATTTAGAGGAATCCCACCTTTCCTTTATTTTTGTTCAGATAAGATTATCTTAAATATAAAGCTTTGAATATAACAAAAATCCAGATAAATCATCAAACTTATTGGAGTAAGACTAGGATCTACATACTTATAAATGACACTTACATAATTGTTCTTTCCAAACCACAACTAGAACCATAACTTTATTTATAATTTAACAACTAAGCTAAAAATTATAACGGGTATATTTGTTATTCTATCTATTCTTTTTAAAGTTAGTAATATAAAACGGCCACGCGAAATATTTTATTTTCTAAGCTGAAGCAAATGAAAATTTGCTAGTATCAAAGTAATGTGTCGTATTTTTCACAACATGCAACAATGGTGCTAAGAGAATCATTTCACACTGTAATTCCCAGAGGCAGAAAAAGTCTGGGAATAAGCTATTTCATAAGAGCAGCTTTATATAGTCAGTATTAAGGTTTTCATTTGGAAGGTTTCATTCAAAAGAAATAGTAATTGTCATATATGCTCTAGTGCATTGGCATTTTCCCCCTCACACCGCCATTTATGCCGTAGAAAATTCAAAAATTTTGTCAGTTAGCTATTAAACTGGTTCATTTCATTATGGAATTGTCTGTGAGCTGTAGGCATACTCTTAATATTCCTGGTTAGGATAGATAAGTTGGCTTTAAACATGTGGAAGAAACAATTATTAGTACTGTTGTTTTTTTTCCTTTTGTTCAGAAGTCTAAACACCATTACTTCTGTAGCCCATCAGAAACTGTCCAAGGAGTTTCATTTGGCCATGTGGTCACCTTCATTTAAAATACCCATGGAAACATTCATTTGCAGATTCCATGCAGCTGTAGCAGAGAGTGGACTGAACTAGAGAGCAAGTTCAATCAATACAATTAACTCTGAATATTTGAATTGGAAACAATATATATTTTCCCCACTTATAAATGCATGTATTGAATCAACTTATAATATCTATATAAGTAAATCAAACACATATTTATGTCAGTTTAAATGTTTTAGGTTCCCACCCTGCTTATTAAATAAACGTACAAGCTAAACAAATAACTCAAATGTTTCTAAGAAGGAAAAGTAATGCTGAGATCTTGGTCTGTTTTCCAACATATGACAACATACCTTAGGTTCCATAATATTATACAATATAAACCTTGCCATACATGGAAGCCTCTACCTACTGAAATATATAAGAATAATAAATTTGTGTTTCTATTAATATCTAAAATTATTTTTGCTTTTATATTTTTTTGTATTGTCATTGTATCTGTGGATGAAGACTTTTAAACACATGCAAAATGATTTTTAAAAACTATGTCATGGTCTAACTTTGACTTATGAAGGGTCAGTCAAAAACTTAGTTTAATTTCTCACTGGTCAATGGTGCTAAAACACATTACAATTATTGTATACTTGCTATAATTTTGAGGTTTCTTTGAAGTGAAGGCTATTACTAAGGGTGAATTATCAATATCTGTTCTGGTGCTAAATATATGGTGCTAAATGAATTGATAGTGTTAATGGCTTTAGTAATGTTCCTTTCAGTCATTCATTTCGTGACTCACATATTAATATAAACCTTTATTAAATTAATCTTCACCAAAATCAGACCAGTTAAATCTTTCTGTCTTTTGGTTTAACAGTCCAACATTATTGAGGTGTTGCCTAATGTAAATATTTCTTAAGGAGCCATCTATTTTCTTCTTTGAGGCATATTTTTTTAGCTTGGCAATGCCCAAATTCAAATATCTCCTGAGGGTGAGATTGCCCTGATTAACCATGCTGCAGGCCCTGGCGCCCTCTGGTGGTTGTAAAACCAAACTCTTGATGGCTCCTTGGCCTACTGCAAAATCCATTTGTGCTCAGTAAATAAGTTGCATAATATTAAAGTTCTCTAATACTCCCTAAATCTGACAGAATTTAGAATGCTTGACTCTATCGACATACTTTTCTAAGATAAAGAAGGAGACTTAATATATCCTGGCACTCATTTTCCTTAAAAAATATTATTTTTGTATGATTTTCCAGTTCTAAGGTGCTTTTTAAAGTGTATTTTTTTTGAACAAGGTATTACTAGAAGATATTTTATTTGGTTTATATCATAAGTACAATTATTGTTAGAATTATCAAAAAGAATAACAGCTGTGTCTTATTTTCAAGAGCAATAGTTTAACTTTGGTTAGCATAGTAACTAAGATAAAAAGAGAAATACTAAAATAATAACTAGTTACATATGGAAAAGAATGATATTGACACCTTTAATTGTTGATCTATTTCTTTACAATGATATTTGGTCAGATTATTGAAATAATGATAACATTATTTCATTCAAAGTCCTTCTAGACTAACAAATGTACACAAAAGGTGAGAATTGTGTCACCTATAACCAATGAAGGCAATGCATATTCTCAGGCAAAATTTTAGTTAAGATATACAATTGACTGGGGGTGTTAAGTCATTTGTTTTGACAGATTTCTTAAACTATGCTAGCACAAAATTTACTTTGAAGTTACCTTCCAAATTAATATTTTCAAATTGATTTTAAGGCAATAAACCTTTTCTATAATCTAAATTTTATGGAAATAGATTTTACGAAAATATCCTATGAGGACCTCAGTTATTTCTATGGTTCTTTTA